TATTTCTTGTAAGTATAAATAATGTATTACTAGTTGTGTATTTTACATTATTTGTCTTTATTTCTTATAAGTATAAATGTGAACTACTAGTTTTGAATAAGTCAAAGAAACATCCAAATGATTAGGCTTTGTTTCTGGAAGTTTGGTTGACTTTTTAATTTTTTAAGTTATTTTAACTTAAGTTAAAAAGTTTATTTGGCTTTTTTTTTTACTTTTTTAAACTTTTGATTCTGATTTAAATGTGATATTTTATCTTATTGATTAGTCTATTTTGTTTTTTTGTGTCAAATTTAGCCAAAAAGTCAAAAAAAGTCCAATTGTCAAACGAGGGCTTAAATTAATTATAGTTTTTATTTTTAAATATGAAATAATATTTATAGTAAATAATGTTTTCATATGTTTAGTAGTCACCTTAAAACTACTATATTTGTGGTGGTGGTGAAAAAAATGTTGACATTGATAAAACTTCCATCCATAAAAAGTTTTTACCTTTTAAAAATAAAAATTATTTTTTTCCAAAATTAGTTTTTTTTTTTTTTTTTTTTAAAATTAGTAAAACTTGAGCCACACTAAAAATGAGAATTTCTTAATCAAGTTATTACTAAAAAAAAAAAAAAAAAAATCATTAAAAAATAAAAAAAGATAAAAAGTTTTATTATGTTATCAAATTCCTTGGGAAAATAGTTAACTATTACTATATTTTGTTTATATCAAATTTATTTCACTGTAACCATTTATTTTTCTATGTGTATCAAACTATCAAACTTGTTATTTAGAAAGGCAACCCAAGAGGGGGGTGAATTGGGTGATTAAAAAAATGGCCAGAAAATAGATTTCAAATGACTAAGGAATAAATGCAGATGATAGTTAATGAATACACATAAAATAAAAGTGAAAGAAGAAAGAAGAAAGAACACAACACAAGGATTTATAGTGGCTTAGCTCACCGGCCTACGTCCACTCCTCAAGAGATCTCCTTGAGAATTGCTTCACTAAGAATCAATGCACCACCAAGCTTCACCTAGCTTGTGGATTTTTACAAAGGACTTACTTCAATCTGTTGAGGACCTCTCAACTAAATGCCTCACT